TCCCTCTCTGTCTCTCTCTGTCTCTCTCTGTCTCTGTCTCTCTCTGTCTCTGTCTCTCTCTCTCTCTCTCTCTCTCTCTCTCTCTTTCCCCTCCTCCTTGCGACGCAGTTTCAAGACGTCAAGAAATCGGAACATGCCACAGACAAGAACTATTATGTATTTTTGCCGACAAAAGAAAAAAAAAAGAAAGAAAGAAAGAAAGACAAACCAAAACAAAAATGGATTCCGAAATAAGACGGCAAACATGTCGCATACATTTCGTTTAGCGTGCTCCAGACTCGCAAAAAATATACCAGGCTTCTCAAAGTGTCGTCAACATCCTTTTATGTACAGAACTAATTTCCTTAAAATTCTCAGACTGAGCGAGAAAGAGAGACAGGATACATTATGGGTCACGACACGGTGAAATCAAGCGCTCATCGGTTTTGGGGCATAATATTATGGAGTTATTAGCATCATTCTGAAGCCTGTATGATTGCCTTGTTTTTATTGAGAAAAATATTTACGTATCTTGTCTTGAATGTTAGTCGTGATATTTGCGTATTGGAAAAGGTGAGGGATTTCCACGACACCCAAAAGGCTATAAGCGGCGGAAAAAAGTAAAAGGAAACTGTGGGAGTCGCCAGGTGTCATAAATAAAATTAGCGAGAAACTGGCTGGCAAACTTTGGTGACTTCAAATGTATCCTTGCCCTTGAACATTGTTAATGTACATTATTTTGTGTAGTTCAACAAGATTCTTTGTGTTAAATCATCTACCCAACAATGTGTTTTTAAACAAACATAAAAGGTGTTCATTCAATATTTTTTTTAATCGATAAAAATAATTGCCCAAGAATGTCGGTATCTTCAATATTCTTATTTTGACGAGCGCCTGGTTTCACCACGATGAGACATTTGGAACAATGGGATCAACGACCGCTGTCGTCTTCTTCCAAATGTTCAATAACATTAAAACAGTAAGAGCTTCTATCTACGTCTTAGCTACAATTGAGACATTGGACGTCAGAGTTTGTGAATTTTAAATGCAAACAGAGAAATACAAAAACATATTTCACATCGCCAGCCAGCGGATAAAAGGTTCTAAGCCTTTTTTTATATTATTAAGCACACAGTTTTCATAATCTGTTGTATCTGTTACATGTGCTCAAAAAATAAAAACATCCACAAAATGCAGGCACGACCTTTTAAAATCGTATATAACGATAATCAGATACAAACTGAAATGGGAGTGGACATTAAGTTTGATACTGGTTTTAATTACACTTCAACGCAGCAAAATATGTCTAATTTCACCCGTATTCGGAAAGAATTTTAAGTGCCGAAGATTAGACGTATTACAAGAGAGTAACAACAACAAAAAGAAGAAAGAGATGATATAAAGACGATAGCAGTTCTTTGGAAAGAAGGGGCAAATCACACCAGAGCATCCATATTCTGAAGGAAATTAATTTCGATACTGGTACCGAGCCCACTTCAATGCAGCAAAATATTCAAAATGGCCGCATTTAGAAGGACATTCAGTTCGATACTGATACTAAGTATTCATTCTCCAAAACAGCGAAATGTCCAAAATTGCACCCCCATGTTCAGAAAGACATTGAGTTTGATATGCATGGGTAAAACACACTTTAACAAGTCAAAGTATCCAAAACTGCATCGATATTCGGAGCAAAGTACGTTCGTCATAGACAGACATTTAAGGACTTACCAACACAGCGGAATGTCCTAAGGTGTAACCGTATTCAGACGGAATTTGGGTAAGATACGGGTAAAACATAATTCAACACAGGTCACAGACAAAATATTCAAACACATTTCAACACACGGAAGTCTCTCAAAAACAGCTCTCGTAATAAGAAGAAATTCAGTTTGATACAGATTATTAAGGGGGGGGGCTACACCCCCAAAATCAAAATTCGGCTCAAAATCATGGAATTTGAGGTGTACGCATTTTTAGCTTCCTTAGCCTCTCCTACAACTATTTCATGGCATAAAACCCCCAAAAACTGTATTTTTCCCA